ACTGCTTCTCTGAACTGCCAAATTGAAAGGCCTCTTCCCTATCCACATCTTTATTTCTCTGCAGTATCTGCCACTATTGCCTACCTTCTGCTCCCTGAGTTTTGAGGACAGTGCTCTCTAAGTTTTCCTTTTAGCTCTCTGACCACTCCTTTCTCAGTCTCCTTTGTGGATCATTATCCACATCACAAACACTTAAATGTGGGTGGTACCATAAGGCAGCCTTCTTGGCTGCCTTTTTCCTTCTAGTCTTTCACTTCATTGACTCTGATGGGCCCATCTCCATACCAATCATTTTATCAACAAACTTCTTATTATATACTGGGCCCTTTTGTAAATACAAAGACAAAGAATGAAACAATCCTTACTCTCAAGGAGTTACATTCTAATAGAGGAAAAAAGTACATATATACCTTTTTGTGGAAGAAATAGAGAATACAAGGTAATTAAGAAGGCACTAGCAGCTGGTGGATTAACGAAAAGCTTCATGCAGATGGTAGTATTTGAGCTATGTCATGAAGAAAGGGATTCTATAAGGCAGAGGTAAGGAAGGATTGCAATGCACCAGGCACAGAGGTCACATATAGATACAAAAGCATCAGGTTGGGCAATGTAGCATCATGTATGAAGATCAGAGAAAAGGGGCAGTTTGGCTGAAATGCAGAATTCTGGGGGCATTTACAATGAAGATGAAAAGACAGTTACAGCCAGGATGTGAGGGACTTTAAAAGCTAAACAAACAAGTCTATATTTTATCCTAGAGGCAAAAGGAAGACAGTGGAATTTCATTCCCTATCTCAGTACCATTTAAGGTACTATTTGGATATTCAGGGGAAATTCAGGGGAAGATTTCTTGGAGGCAATTCAGATATGTTCCTGAAGCTCAGATTTTCAGAAGGAGAAAAGGGGAGAGCACAAGATAGAGAGCCACATGCTTCATTCCACACACTTACTTCTGTGATTAAAGATCACTTTCAATGTGGTGAGGAGGCTGGACTTGAACAAGGAGAAAGTTGAGGCAGAAATACCATTGTGAGTCTATTCTAATAGCCTAGGCAAGAGGTGATAAGGGCTTCAACCAAAGTGGTGGTGGGTGTGTAAGAAAGGGGTGGATGTGAGAGGTGTTACTGAGAGGAAAAGGACAAGATTTGGTAATTGATTGGATATATGGAATGAGGGAAAGGGGGGAGATAATGTTGATCTTACAAACCTAGGGAACTGGAGAACAGTGGTACATTTTGAAAGAAATATAAAGAAATTTAGAAGAGGGGTAGGTTTGGGGAAAAGATACCAAGTTGTATTTTGGTTGTTCTGAGTCTGAGATGTCTCCAGGATATCCAATTTGGAGCAGTCAGTAGGCAGTTGAGTGATGTGAGACCAAAGTTCAGGGGACAGGTTGGGTGGGGCTGGATATATAGATCTGCAAGTATACATAGTGATGATAGTTAAAACCAATGGACCTGATGAGGTCACCATGAGAGTATAGAGAGAAGAGAGGGATCAGGATGGAGCCTGGAGGAATACCCACCGTTAAGTTTGTGCTATCAGTGATGAGCTAACAAAGGAGACTAAGGAGCCAACAGAAAGGTAGGTAGGAGGAGAGCTAGGAGAAAGTTGTGTCATGAAAACCCAGAGAAGAAAAGAGTATCCAGGAGAGAATGGTCTACAGGGTTAGGTGAGAAGTTTAAAGACTGAGGACAGAACCTGGCAATTAAGAGGTCATTGGTAACTTTGGAAAGAGCAGTTTCAGTTGAATGATGAATTCTGAAGTGAGACTGAAGACCAGAAGTAAGTACAAGAAAGGAAGAGGAGGCAATGAGTGTGGACAGCTTTTTCTAAGAGTTTGGCTAAGAAAGGGAGGAGAGAAGTAGGGTAATTGTCTGAAGGGATGGTCTAGGATGAAGGTCTAGGGAGGGGGAAGATTTGGGCATGTGTGAAGGCAACAGAGAAGGAACCAACAGATAGGAAGAGCTTGAACATTAGCAAAAGAGGGGCAATTTGGTAGAGAAAACCAAATGGGATGGCATCAAGGACATAGGCAGAGGGTTGGCTATGTGTGGCAAGGAGAAGGGAGAGTAAGGGGTGATTTCAAGGGATTTTCAGACAGAGAAAAATAAATTGAGGCCTTCATCTGTGCATGGGGGAAGTATGAGGTATAGGAGGCTAGGGAGAGAAGAGAAGATTTGCAACAATTTTTGTGGGTAGTGAGATAGGGAATCAGTTAAGGAGGAATAAAAGGACTGACTTACTGTAGTGAGGACCCAGTTAAAGTTAGAATGGACCTGTCAACATACTGTGTAACTTCTTCCACCTTTGTTTAGCTTCATGTTAAGTTGGAACAGTAGTGGATGGTAGGAATAATCTAGGGTTGGGGGTTGACAAGGAATAAGTAGTGACAGGACAAAGGAACAAGGCATTTGAAAGTAGAGGATAATATCAGGTTGAACTAATTCACTAAATGGATCAAGTTGAGAAGGGACGACTAAAGTGAAATCAGTAGAGGGGAGGGGTTGGAGGTCAAAATGAGAGTGAGGAATAGGTTTAGGAGGGGTGAGGCACAGGCAATGATGAAATGATAGATGTGGATAAGATTAAAGCCAAAATCTTTGATCAAGGAAGGAGAACACCTGTAGGTAATGGTGAGCTCCAGAATATAACTGTCTATGCAGGGCTAAGGAGGAACAAAAGAGTACACTACAAAATTTGAGAAAAATGAGGAATTGGGAATTTGAGTAAACAGTCCTCTAGTATAAGGCCAGGAGCTGAGGAGGAAAGGAAGACTGAGCTAGGTGCCAGTGACTCCCAGATCTACAGATCTAGCTCTAGTCTCTCCTGAGCTCCAAACTCTTAGCACAAACTAACTATTGGACATTTTGAACTTGATGACTGGAAGGCATCTTAAGTTCAGCATGTCTAAAACAGTACTCATCTTTTCCTCCAAACCTATCCTTCTGCTAAATTTCCCTATTATTGTCAAGGACACACCCTTTCCAGTAACTAGGTTTGCCATTTGGTTATCATCCTTGGCTCCCCAAATTTCTAATCGGTTGCCAGATCTTGTCATTTCTCATCTGCACATCTTGAAATATGTCCCATCCTCTCCACTCACATAACCACCAACCTTGTTCAATCCCTTATCAACCATTTACCTGGACCATTTCATCTCCTTGTCTCATCTCCTTGCCATTCTATCCCTATGTAGCTGCCAAAGTGCAGTTCCAACCATGTAATTCCTCCCATCCCAAATGAACTACCATGGCTCTCTATTAACTCCAGAATTGTCATCTGGCAATTAAAGCTCTTCACAATCTGGCCCTTTCTCACCTTTCCAGTCTTCTTATGCCTCACTCTGATCCACATACTCCAGCTAAACCAGCCTGTTGATATCTCATTGTCCGTCTCTGTCTTTGCACTGATTGTCTCCCCTAGGCCTGGAATACATACCCAACTCTGCCACCTTTTACATGAGACCTTTCTTGATTTCTCCCCAGCTCCCTTCTTTTCAAAACCACCTTGTATTCACTATATAAATATTCTGCATATGCTCATATAAGTACATTACCTTCCCTGTCAGAACGTAAGCTCCTTATGAGAAGGGATTCATTTTTGTGTTTGTACACTTAGTACTTGGCAGTGTCAAGCCCAGAGAAGGCAGTTCATAAATGCTCACTGATTGACTGAGTGATTGAACAGTCATCATCTTCTTGACCTCTTAATGTCAGTATACTCCACAGTACTGTAACTGGCCCTCTTATTTTCCTCTTTCTACTCTACTCCTTGGTAATCTCGTTTACTTCCATAGCTTCAACTACTACCTCTATGCAGGTGATTCTCAAATGCATCTCATGTCCTAAGCTTCAGGAACATATCTGAACTGCCTCCAGGAAATCTTCCCCTGAATTTCCCCTGAACATCCAGCTGGTACCTTAAATTCAACATATTAAAAGCTGAACTCATCATCTTTTTTCCTCCTGTAACTACTGCCTTTTTGGATTTCATGATTTCTGTCTATGGCAGAGGTGTCAAATATGAGCTGAAAAACTGAGTTTTTCCACTGAGCCACCAAATTAAAATGGAATGAGGAAATGCTTAACAAAATACAACAAAAACAGTGTTAATTTGTAGTTTTCTAAGTCAATGTGTGTCCCCCAATGATCCATTTCTATTTGAGTCTGACACCACTGATCTATGGTATTGGCATTCATCCAGTCTCCTGTGGTTATAACCTTGGGGTTACCTTTGATTCTTCCCTTCCCCTTAACTTTTGTATTTGATCAGTTAACAGACTGTCAACTCTACCCCCAAAACATCTTTTCCACCATCTGCCTCCTTTCTGTATTCCCACTTCCATCATCCTAGTACAGGCTTCTCTTACCAGCTACTTAAGAGTGCTAGAGTAGCTCCCTTCTCTTTGCTTCAATACATTTCAACTATCTCTGGCCAGAATAATCTTCCTTAGACATCAATTTGGTCATGCCACTCCTCTCCTTAACAGTCTTAAATGGCTTCCCACTGCCTACCAAGTAAAAATCCAAACCTACCTAGCATTGAATTCTTGATGCATGCTACTTTCCCAACTTTACATCCATCCAGACTATATACTTTGCCCTCAACCACACACTGTAGTCTCAGAATTCTGTGACTCTCTTCACACTTTGCTTTATTCCCGGAAGTCCCCCCTTACCTGTTTGTTGATTTCCAGCTCATCTTTTAAAAGTCCACCTTAAATACCACCTCCTCTAGGAAACCTTTCTTGACGTTTCTGTCTTCCCACATAAGTAATGATTCCCCTTCGAACTTTGTATAACACTCTCTTTTGTAAGCTCCTCAATGCACTTATGATGTAATGTGTATTTGACCGCTTGTGTTGCCACTTTATCCCTCTGCTAGGCTGTAAACTCCTTAACAACGAAGGACACATTTCATCTAAACTTCTCCTAGAGCCTAGTACAGTACTCTCTACCTAAGCAGGCACTTAATAAATGTTTATCGTATCATATTACTTCATCCACTCTTCCTTGAGGCAAACCAGGCACTGATCCACAACATCCACTGAAAGGTTCTGATTGGTGAGAGCAGCTTCAATTTTGTTCAAGATGGTAGGTCCAACTGACAACAGAGAGACAAGATGAGCATTAGAACCGTCAGTAAGAAAGGGAAAATATATGAATAAACATTCTCTTCTTCCTTATTTTTCATGGCATGTGTCTTTTCTTATGAAGAATTAACATTTCTCAGGAGTTCCTACCTCGATCAGTAGCTAGGGGACCTCCACTGGTGACCACAAACTCATACTTGCTCAGAGATTGATCGTCATCACATGCAACTGGATAAACACTGGAACAAGTGGCTGTGTGGACGTCAACAATGACAGCAAATTCTGTGGCAACAGAAACCCATTTCTCTGCTCAGTCATTTGCTTCTCATAATGATCCTTTAAAGCCTGTCACATACACCAGATATAAACCTATCAGGCCATACTCTGCAGCCTAGGGAAGCATACTGCTGGACTAAATCAGAAGAACTGCAGTTGAGTTTTCACATCCACACTTGCTCATTTGAGATTGTGGGCACAGAACTCTTCTGAACCTCAGTTTCCTCATCAGTAAAATGTGGCTAACAATGCTTGCGCCACCTGTCCCCCAGGGTTATTTTGGAGAAAGTGCTTTGTGAGTTATAATATGTCAATGCATCTGTGCTGTCATTGATGAGGATATGTGCCCCGCCTACTCGTCTCCCCCACAAAAATGATGCAGACCGCCGTCTATCCATGCCTTCTTATTCTGTGTGACTCTTGTCCATGTCCTCTCATAAACTGTCCACAACAGGAGTCTGTGCCTTCCTCTCGATCTTCACACTGCATGAATAACAACAGAGCACATGGGCTCCATTTGCCGGCTGTCTTACAAATCTGATCAAAAGGATTTTACACTAAAAGGAACAGAGGAGGAGGAAAACTGTCCAGTATTTTCCCCAAAATATATTTTATTATCGAGAGTAGCCAGAAAGAAGGAAGACGAGCAGCTGAGACACCTAGAACTTCAGAGGAGAGAAAATCCAAGAAAGTAGTGAAATCCCATAGTCTGAAACATTTATACACAAATGCAAATTTGATCTCCTATGTATCACTGGGATGTAGTGTTATGAAACCCATGACTGGCCTGTTGCTTTAGATGAGTACACTTTATTTAAAAGAAAAGGGGGGAGGGTGCCAAGTGTCATGGCATTATAGATTAAAAAGGTATCATACTCTTGTGAGGAAATAAAGGAACCAAAGGGAGAGGCATGACAATATTTGAGTAAAGGTCAAAAGAGGAAGAAAAAAGTGATTTTGTCTTTGGAACAGACGCCATTCAGATCAACTGGACGGAAAGAGTGAAAAGATGAGGAGTTTGGGAAACAGATCCTAAGCCTGGTACTGAGGCATCAGACAGCAGGACTAAGGGACTTCAATTATCCAGATATCAGCTGGAGCTCTCTCTCTGCCAAAAGCACAGCAGTTAGTAATTGATGGGTTCACCCTAGAGATAACTTCATTCTTTAAAAGGTAGAAGAAACAACAAGGGGAATATGCTAGTCTAAGCTGATTCTCAATGATAGTGAAGAACTCCTTGCTGAGGCAGAAATGATGGGAACGCTGGGGGAAATGACTGTTTCACCCTAAAGTTCACGAAGAGGAGATGAAATCTGGGTCTAGTCTGGCAAACACCCTAAATTTTGATAAAGCTGTTTTTAAAGAGTTTTAAGGAGAAGTTTGATAGAATCCCATGTGTCTCAAGGGAATTTAACTCAGGTGGGATAGGAGATACTCAAGAATGAAATTCTGAAGACCCAAAAGGAAACAATTCCAGGTAAGAAAGAAAAATGTGGTTTGTCTGGAGAGACCGATACGAATGCACAACAAACTCACATCAATTGTGGTTTTAAAAAGAACTGTAAAGAAGGTGGAAGCAAGGCCACATAACAGAGGATGAGTGTAAGAGCATGGCATGGTCTTGTAAAAATGGCGTCAGGAATGCTAAAGTCCATGATGAGCTGAGGCTAGAGAGGGAAGCTTGAGCTGACAAAAACTGGGATCAATAAAAAACAAAAACTGGGAATCAAAGAAAGTAAAGGCCCTTTGTGGAGAGTAGAATTAACAACAGAGGGAAGGCAGAGTTGCTCAATTCTTAATTTGTTTCCATTTTCTCTTACTGTAAAGGAGAATAATGTTTAGACTGGAAATGATTGAACAAAAACAACTAGGAGGGAATAAATACCCCAGATAACAAAGGAGAGAATTAAAAGAGAACTTAATTGCCCTTGATGAATTCAATTGCCCAGATAAATTACACCTTTGGGTACTGAAAAAAACTAATAGAGGTGATTGCCGCTATCAGTGACAATTATTTGAAGAATCCTAGAAAATGAGAGTGGTAACACAAGCTTGGAGAAGAGAAAAGTTGTCTTGATGTTCAAATGAGTAAAACTGACTTTGCAAACTACAGGTCAGTGAGCTTTAACTTCAAATCCTGGGTAATTTCTAGAACAAATTATTAAAGAGATGGCTAGCAAGCAACTAATTAAGAAAAATGATGATTGAAAAGAATCAACAGGGCTTCAGCAAGAACTAGTCACGCTAGACTAATCTTATTTCCTTTTTTGACATTACTGCTAAACTAAGAAACAAGGGGAATTCTGTAGATATAGTTTACCTAAATTTTAGCTAAGTTTTTGATAAAAGTATCTTATCCTATTCTTGTGGAGAAGACACAGAGATCTGGATGAGACAATAATATATCAAATGGATTAAGAACTGATTGGATAGTCAGACTCAAAGCGTATTTGTTGATGATTCAATGTCAACATGGCAAGAGGTCTCCAGTGGAGTAACCTAGGGATCTTTACTTGGCCTTGTGCTATTTAACATTTATCAATAACATGGATAAAGGTATAGGTGTATGCTCATAAAATTTGTAGTAGACACAAAAATAGGAGGGATGGCTAACAAATAGATGTTAATAATCCAAAAGGATTTTGATAGTAATAGATATGAATCTAAGATAATGATAAAACATAATGTCTTGGGTACAACAAAAACCTTTATGAGCATGAGATGGGAAATGCATGGATAGACAGCAGGTTGGCAAAGCACTATGCATGTTATCTCATTTGATTTTCACAACAGCTCTGTGAGACAGGTGCCATTATTACCCCCACTTCATGGATAAGGAAACTAAAGCTGAGAAGGCTAAGTGACTTGCCCAGGGTCACAAAGCTAGTAAGCATCTGAGGCAGGATTTGAACTCAGGTCTTCTTGACATCAACTACAGTGCTCTTACCCACTCTCTCGCCTAGCTGTAGCCAGGGCTGCTGAAGTCCTCCTAATTCTCAAATTCTGTGATCTTATGCTATTCTTTGATTGTCACTACATATCTAGACTGCCTCTTGTTCTGATCAAATATCTCTCTGATGATATCCTTTACGCTACTTCTACATACATCTTTGTTGCAATATGCTGCAACTATGTGCCAACCACATACTTCTCCACTGCCCTTTGGGGGATGGGTACCTTCAGTTCTTCAAAGCCTGTAGTATTCAATGGCTTATGTCTGTATACTATCATCAGAAGATAGCCATTTCAAAAAACCTGGGTCTTTGTTTCAATGAAAAGCTTAAAGGGTAATTAAAAACACTGAGCAGTGAGGTGGTTCAGTGAAATAAGAGTGCTGGGCATGGAGCCATCAAGTCCTAAATTCAAGCTTTACACACTTACTAGTTGTGTGACCCTAGGCAAGTCACTTAACCTCACTTACTCTTATTTTCAGCACCTGTAAAATAGTGATAATAACACCAGGGTTGTTGTGAGGATCAAATGAGATATTTGGAAACAAATAAAAGTGCTTAGAACAGTGCCTGGCACATAATAGGTGCAATATAAATGTTTATTGAAAATAAGTGAAAGAGTGGGGATGACAGAGGGGGCAACCTGCTGGAAGAGATGGGATAGAATGGGACTGTTTGTACAGATGGAGGAGGGGGGCCCTGGATCACTTCTTTGTGTGAGACAAGGGTGAAGGATGAGGTAGTGGCAAAAGGCACTTATGTGACAGAAGATGAGGAAGAAGGAAGGAGGAGTTCACAGTGAATGGCCTCAGTTTTTTCTGTATACATGAGGCAAGCTTCTAAGCTGAGAGAGTGGAGGCAAGGGAACTACGGGAGATTTGAAGAAGAATGAAAAGGGCTGGAAGAGCCACAGTGAAGAGTGGGATAATGAGTTGATTCTCTGTTGCCTAGCAGCAGAGAGGGCCCAGTTGAGGTTGTATAACATAAATCTATAGTGGTATCAGAAGAGCTGTGTGATTTATCCATCTTCATTCAGTAGCATGTGTGTAGGTGTGAAGGCAAGAAATGGTGGGAGTGATCCAAGACTGAGGCTTGACTGGGCATTAGCTGGGGCCAATGGTAAGAAAAGTAGGGATTCATATGAGAGGAGGACAGTGTAGAATTAAATTGGTGACAGAAATCAGTAGAATTATGTATTTTCTATAGTCAATTGTGTCACTGTTGAAATGTGTAATGATCTAGTATATTGCTTGCAATGATCTGTCTCTTCATACCTTCATCAATGTGTATATTACTTTCAAAGATTTACAGAATGGGACAGCTAGGTGTTGCAGTGGATAGAGCACCAGACCTGGAGTCGGGAAGACCAGAGTTCAAATCCAGCCTCAGACCAGACACTTGACATTTGCCAGTTTGTGTGAGTCTGGGCAAGTCACTTAATCCTAGCTGCCTCACCAAAAAAAAAAAAAAAGATTTTATAGAGTTGGGACACTGTTAATCACAGTAGAAGAGTGAGCTAGTACTCGAGTGGATCTGTACTCTCCTAAATTTAGATGTTCCCTCCAATAATGCAGCTCACATCCCATTCGTGCTCACTCATCCTGTGCAACTCTTATCCACGTCCTTCCACAAGTTCACCTTCCCCAGGTCCATAGGAGGCTGCTCAATGTGCTAGAGCAGCCTTCCTTATTTCTCCCAACATCCCAAGGATAGCAGCGGAGTACTTGGGCTACACACCTGTGCCCTTGCCCTCACCATGTGATCAGTCCATTCTATATGGCCTCTGAGGCATGGTATGCAACAGTGCCCAAAGAAGTGAAAATGAATATTATACAGAAGGCATAACCAGGATATAACCACTAAGGAACTGTGCAGAAGAGCAGAAGTAAAAAAATCATCAACAAAAAGCTTCTAGAATGGTCACAAGTTAGTATTTACTAGTAAAAATTGCCAGTGGAAGAAATAACCCAACAACTTCATTACTTAATATCTTAGAAAGTACATTTCAAGTTAAGTTTGAATCCTTAATGTCAAAAGTAGGGGTGAATAACTCCTTTAGTTCTAAGTAGTAACAATGGGGCTATAAGAAACAACTGTGGTATTGGGGGCCAATGGCAGACCTAAGCAATAAGCATAGAAGGAAAAAAGTGAAATAGAAAAAAATATGAAGGAGGATAAGGAAAGAGAAGAGAAATTAAAAGAGGTGCATGTGATGAGAGGTGCTACAGTATATATCATCACATCCATACTAAGTGCAGGGGCCAACGTCTCAAAGTTGTGCTCTATAAGAAGAGAAGCTTAGCTGCTAATACACACATCTTTAGTTCTATGATGAAGGCCCAGAAGTCAAACTTCCAGATCCCTAAAATAAATACACATGTCCCTTAAATGAGGTAAAGAAGGAAAAGATAAAGTAGTATGTTTCCATGGACTCCAAGTGATAGAAACTTACCAGAAGTCTGTATGTAGGATGGTATTTGAACATGAGGACTGAGTCCCAGAAAGTTACATCGATATGCCTCCTCATACTGGCTACTATAGGGGATAATTCGGACACAACCTACAGGCAGCATGGTCTAAAGATGACACAAACAGTAATAATGAGCAAAACTATGCCATGCCCTCCTTATTTCCTGTTACCCAAACCTTATACATCTGTTCAGACCCAGCTCAAGCCTCTTCTCCTTTGTGAAGTCTTTCCAGAACACTCCAGCCCAAATTTCCATGGCCCTTGCTCTCTGTACCATTCACTTAGCACTGATTCATGACAATTCAGTTCTGCAAATAACTCTTATATTGATGATCTCAGATCATTATCTATCTTTTATGTTATTCATAGTTAAGTTTACTTTTCCTTTCCTGTCTCCTGACTAAATTGTCAACTCTTTGAGAGAAGGGGCAAATGTTATCCTGAGCATTTTTGCACTCTTGTGAGGAACGCTATTCAGTGTGTCTACTGATTTAAATGACAACAGTTAGATGGATCTAGATTCAAGTCTCAAATTTGTTCTCCATCATCAGATTGCAGAAGGATTTTTTAGGAAATATTCTATCAGTCTCCTTCTCCTTACAGGAGGAATCCCTCATCCTCCTATTACTCAATAATCTCCCAAGAAAAAGATCTAGGATGACATTAAACCCTTCCTGAGAAAATTGGGAATCACAAATAGAACTCCTGGAAAGGTTCAGAAAACTGGTAGAAGTGATCAAGTCTATGTTTTAGTGATCAACCTTGAAAATCTAGATTTTTTCCTTTAAAAAAAGAGATAACCCAAAACACTATGGTTTCTTTTATCTTCAGTGTGTGATTATAAAATACAAAACCCATGCCAGCCATATTAATTGCTGAGCGTTTTCAAGATGTTTTCCTATAGCTATGTGTAGCCTTACTTTAAAAAAAAAAATTATGGACCTAAATTCCTCTGAAAAATATGGAAGGGACTAAATAAAGGGAAACAGAAGAAATTCTGACAAGGTCTTACCCGAAGAACATCAAAAGCTGATTGGACAAGATCCATGTCTTGCCCCTTCCAGATGACCTGGTTTCCCATTAGTACATGCCATGCCAACATGCGAAAAGAAGGTGCGCCTAAGACCTAAGAAAAGAAAGTATAATGCTTACTAGATGATTTCAAAATCTTTTGCCCTTCCCCATTAAGTCCATTTTAGCATTTCAGTAACATTCCAATGGGAAGAAGGAGAAAGTCAACTAAACCAGGAGCTTCTAATTTGCTGTGCCATCTTGGATAAGACATTTTACCTTTCTCTAAGATAGAGATAAGCTATTCTATTTGTAGTGTTATGAGGATTAAATAATATACAAGGTAAGAAAATTTTTGTGTACTGTTTATGGAACCAAACACTTTGTTACACTATGAACATGAAAGTTCTATCCCCAGATAAGTAGCCTTTAAGAAACCACTATATAGATAGGAAAAATATATATATATATGCTTATATATGTGTATATATATATACATATATGTATATATAGTAAGACATAAATGATTGCTTTAAGTTTATAAATGGACCATAACACTTTCCCCAAACCCTGACCCCCCCCCAAAAAAAGAAAACAGTATACCTACCAGTCATCTTAGACATACTAATATAATTGTACTTCAAAAAAATCAGAGTTAAAGTAATTTAGTGATTTTTTTTTACATTGCTATTACTTCCCAATAATGTAATGCCTCACCCTACCAGAAAACCTCCCCCCCACAGAACACTCTCTTGTAATCAAGTACAGGTAATAAAACGAACCACCACACTAGCCACATCTTACAACATACGTCTCATTCTGCATCACCAACTCTCTCCTAAAAGGAAACAAGTTATAGACTTTTATAAGCTAAATGGACCATAGAAATCTGGTCCAACTCACTCCTTTTACAGAGAAGGAACTAAAGATTAGACAAAATCAGGAGTTTACGCAACCCAAGTCACACAGCTAGCTAACAGCAGACCTGGGACCAGAATCCAGGTCTCCTGACTCCCTGCACAGTATGCTTTCCACTAACATCTGTGGAAAGGCATATCTCTAACAAAATGCAAATAAAGGCCTTTTGATCTGGAATTACTCAAACAACCAGAGTAGGCACACCTGGAGTCAAATGCATGGTGGTGGTTTTGATGAGCACCAGTTCACTTCACGTGCAGATGGGTGATACTGGGATAAGCCCACTTTTAATCATTAATGAATTCAGTTACATACAAATGTGGTAACAGACACATATATGTGCTAGAGGCAGCACAGTGTAGCAAGAAAAGCATTCAAATTGGAGAGACCTGGGTTTAAATCCTACCTCTAACATTAGATGTGTGACCAAGTGCAAGCCAATCTCTCTGAATCCTTGTGCTACAGTTTATGAAACTACTCTCATCAGTTTCCTTATCCATAAAATAAAATGATACATCAAATACCTACCACAGATTATTGGGACAATCAAATGCAATAGTGCATAAAAAAGATTTTGTTATCCTGAAAGGAATTATACATGTCAGTTATTCTTACCGAAAGGCTCGAGTTACCCTCAACCCTTAAGACTATTTGCTAACCTTCACTGAGAAAGCAATGTGCCACAGTGCATGAAGCTGGCCTTGAAGCCAAGAAAATCTGGGTTCAAGTCTTGCCTCGGCTGCCTCTTGCCTGTGTGACCCTGAGCAAGTCACTTTACCCCTCAGTGCTCCAGATAACTCTCTGACCCTCAGCTGCACAGAGAATGCTGACTTGCCTTGACAGAAAGGTGTTCAACACATGGGACAAAATTATACGACTGAAATCACAGGTCCTGTTCCTACATCTAACAATAATCCCTGCCATTAAGTTCTCTGTTACATGTGAGAAACACTGCAGGACTAGTCACAGGACTAGAGTCAGATCTATGTTCAAGTCACACTCCTCCCTATTAGCTGTGTGACCACATATGACCATCCCTTGACCTCTAGGAAGCTTCAGTTTCTTACCTACAAAACTTGGAGTAAGACCTACACTACAGAAATGTGAAGTACAATCACAATGCTTGGTCCAACTCCTTTGTGCCCAACACTAGTGAGAAAATGAGGGGGCGGGGCAGCTAGGTGGTACACTGGATAGAGCGCCAGCCCTGAAGTCAGGAGGACCTGAGTTCAAATACAGCCTCAGACCAAACACTTGCCATTTACTAGCTGTGTGACCTTGGGCAAGTCACTTAACCCCAATTGCCTAAAAGCAAAAAAAAAAAAGAAAAGAAAAGAAAATGAGGGGGCCAAAAGAAATTGCACTGGATACACAGGACAGAGAAATCCCAACTCTTTCTGGAACGACAGAGACATTTTCCCCAGGTTTAGAATTAGGGCCCTCTCTTGCCCACCTGTCTCATGTGTCGGAGGGACTTGAAGACGGATAGCTTTCGAGGCAGCCAGCTGCCACAGAGCAAAGAGGGAGTGGTCGGGCATTTGGCTATTTCCCGCCCATCTGTGACTTCTGGCACTGAAAGAGTTCTCTCCTCCTCTTCACCTTCAGAGTTGTCCCAGCCTTCTGATTCTTCCTCTAAGTCTATTAGACAGACAAGACAGCATGGGAAAAGTTGTTTCCTTGAACTGTTCATTCTACAGAGCTAAAGGTCTCAGAACTTTTTTTCATATTGTAATTACAGATTAAAATGATTACAGATCAAAAGTTGTTTCCTTTTAGACCTATATGGTAGCTGAACTGAGACAACAGCTAGCAGACAGATTAGGCTAGTAAAAATAGGTTTTTAAAAATAAATTTTTGATCCTGTGCTTTTAGATCACCTATATCTTCCACTATATTCTTCTTCCAAACCCATCCCAAAGAGCCATCCTTAATAACAAAGAATTTCTGAAAAAGAGGAAGGAAAAAAGCAAGTTCAGCAAAATGAACGAACATATCAAAAAATTCTGACATTTGTTCCACACCCCCACGGTGCCCTACACATTCTGCAAAGAAGTAAAAGGAGTCTTCTCAAGTCTGCTTTGGGGACAAGCTCAATCACTATCATTTTGCAGCATTCAGTTGTGGTTGTTTTATTGCTATTTCTGTCCTTTCTGTTCACGCTGTTGTAATTAGTGTGCATGTTATGTTCCCGTTTCTGCTTCTTTTGCTCTGCATCAGTTTATATAAGTTTGTCCACGCTTCTCTGTACTCATCATATTCATTATTTCTTACAGCACAGTGATACTCCATTACACTCATGTATCACAAATGGTTTAGCTTTTTCTCAACTGATGAGCTTCTAACTTTGTTGTCAGTTCTTTGCCACCACAAAAAGGGCTTCTGTAATAAATATTCTGGTGGAGGCAGCTAGGTGGTGCATTGGATAGAGTACCGGCCCTGGATTCAGGAGGACCTGAGTTCAAATCCAACCTCATACACATAACGCCTACTAGCTGTGTGACCCTGGGCAAGTCACTTAACCCTATTGCCTAGCCAAAAAAATTTTTTTTAAATGGAAAAAAGAAAAAATAAATAAATATTCTGATGTATATGGGGTCTTTCTTTTTGTCACTGACCTCCTTTAATATAACAGTGCAATCTCTGGGTCAAAGGCTATGGATATTTTCTTCACTTTCTTTGCCTAATTCAAAATTACTTTCCACAATGGTTGGACCAATTCGCAATTCCACCAGTACAGTTCTATGCCTGTCTTCCACAATATCTCTAACTACTGACTGTTCCCATCTGCCAATTTGCTAGGTATATGGTGAAACCTCAGAGTTTATCAAACACTAGGTTATGGAGTTCATTTTTCTCCCCTGATTCTTCCCTGTATAGTTGGTTCTATTTTTAACCACTAACAAATGTTTTTTGATGATTACTGCTTTATCACAATCAGCTCAGGAGACTTAATTATCTTTTTTGTTTGTTTGTTTGTTTTGGTGAGGCAATTGGGGTTAAGTGACTTGCCCAGAGTCACACAGCTAGTTGAGTGTTATGTGTCTGAGGCCGGATTTGAACTCAGGTCCTCCTGACTCTAAGGCCGGTGCTCTATCCACTGTGCCACCTAGCTGCCCCAACTTAATTATCTTTTACCAAAGGAAGGTCAGAATACATGGTATTGAGGCACACGTGTAGGCAACAGTGTGGCAAAGCGATCACCCACAACTACTTCTACTAAATCCTTTCTCCCTTCCTGGAGACCCTAGATGTGGCATCTGTGCTGGACAGGTCACTCAGCTGCTAGGCTGGGCTGGCTTCTGGGGATTGGTTTATATCAGTCTGTTCTTCCCTGACAGAAGCATGATGACAGATGCGGAAAGGGTGCTGACTAGGTTAAGGATTATAGTTATCCAAGATTAATTCATAAGGTTTTTACCTTATCAGGGTTCTTTTTTCTTTCTGTCCTGTGGATTCAGCTTTGATTGTTCTTTATCTGGAGCATATTTCACCTTTTTGTTTTGTCAAGGAAGAGTGTTCTGAGAGTAAATGGGGAATGGAGAAAATGTCTAGGGGCAGCTAGATAGCGCAGTGGATACAGCACTGGCCCTGAAGTCAGAAGGACTTGACTTCAAATGTGACCTCAGACCAAACCCTTCACACTTACTAGCTTTGTGACCCTGGCAAGTCACTTAACCCCAACTGCCTAAAAAAGAAAAAAAAAAGAAAACTCTAGTCCACCAACTTGTTGGCCATGTGACATGGGAGACGCGCTTTAAGCATATTTAACTTTGAACCTATTATATCAAAAGATGGCCAACGGAGAATGGTCCAAAAGCTATAACAGACCACTTATACAAAGGATTTTAAGACTCTCTCAGGAAGTTTGGGGTGTTGGCCGCTGTAAACAGTGGACTCAAATTAAGCAGACTAAAAGATTGAACTGTGATGATAAACCCAATAACTCTTAATTTCTTGCTTTTTTTTTTAAAAAAAGTCTCTATTATGAACTTGACAAATATTTCCATATACAAAGAGAAAAAGACTGTGAAATTTTGACTTTCATGTGTAGCTTTTTAAAAAGTATATAACAAATTCAATATGTTGGTTTCAAAGATGTTCTGCTTGTCTGTGTCTCCCTCTGAACTTCCTTCAGTTTTCTTCTGTGTATTTTTTAAAAAGTTTCTTTGATACTGTTTTCTTTTTGGTTGCATCTTTACCAGTGGCTCCTCTATCCCTTCCTAATACTGTATTTCTAACTTCATTTATTCCATCAAGTTCTCCACCAGAGGCTCTTAAACTTTTCTCCCTTCCACTCAGTTTTACTCCACCTGAATTCAACCACATCTGAGTCATTTACTTCTGACATCATCTACTCCACCAAGAATCAAATAATCACCAATAGAAGACTTGACTAAGTTTCTAACACATTAAACATTTAGGTTTAAATTTCAAACCTTTAGCTCCCTATTCAGCAGAGAGTAGGAGACCTACCTACAAAAGTTAAGTGCTTAGCCAAAAGAAACAGGGAAAGAAGATGAAGAGTTCCTTTTACTTGATACTTTCCATAAGAGTAGCAAAAGACTCCCAACTCCAGCTAGAGAAAACATTTCTTTATGCAAGCTCCAAAGAAGTACAAGTAGAAACTTGTTTAAGAAGGGTAAGATTTAAGTATACAACACAGTAAGATTCTCAGTGTCACAGTAAGATGGTTCCAAAGTTCACCCTAGAAAGAGACCTTTCCTAAATTTAGCTAACAACGCAAAGGCTCACTTACCAGCAAGTTTTTCCATCTGAACCAATGTATCCTCTGTGGGTGCTCCCTCTAGGAGTTTCTCAGTCAGTCTACTGCCACAAGCTTTCAGGAGCCTATAGAAAAGGAAAAAGACTAATTCCCACCAATTAATCCCACTTAGCTTGTGTTTTTATACTTCTCAATTTAACAAGTGTTACAGAACTCAGCCAGTGTCAAATAAGCAATGAGTCACCCATTTGAGAGTCACCACATTCCTTAATATATCATCGAAACCAAATTTCATGATGGATACTGACGTAATACAAATACCAGTAGGCTCATTACTTTAATGGGAGCAGTAAGGCCTTTTCATCAAAGGATCATTACCAAGCAAAGGAGGTATGCAAACAAGCCCACAAATTTTCATCACTTGTCAATGATGTGAGAGAACGGGCTGCATTGCCATTCCGCTGGTGTAAGAATGGAGTAAAAGCTGTGTTCATCCGTTGGGCACGTTGTGGACAGCCATACTGTTCTGCCTCAAATACCTAAGGATACAAAAATACTGTTTACCAAACTAAAAAAAAAAACAAAACCAAAACCAGCTCTGGCCCAGTTCAAATCTCATTTATTCTACTAAGCCTCCTCTGATTGATTTTGTCTAGGGTTTTATCTCCCTCTTTGAACACCTATTATACTTATATAATTGATACCATACAGCTCAGCATTTATTTGTCCTCTGTTTTTTTCTGATGCGTATTATTTTGCATCCTTGATCCCATCCCATCCTGTCTTCTCCAACAGATTGTATCTAATCCTCCCCACTTTCTCTCTAATCTTCAATGTCTCCTTATCTACTGGTTCCTTCCCTGTAGCCAACAAACATGCACAAGTCTCTTTCATCCTTAAAAACAAAAACAAAAAAAGCTTCACCAAGAAATGCAAATCAAAACAATCTTGGGGCTTCCCCCCAGCAAACTGACAGAGAGGGCAAAATATAAGAAGAGTTAATATTAGAGAAGCCATGGAAAGGCAGACACTACTGCATTGTTGGAGTTGTGAATTGGTCCAACCACTGTGGAAAGCAATTCTAAATTTGGCAAAGAAAGTGAAGAAAATGTCCATAGCCTTTGACTCAAGAGATTTCATTGCTAGGCATATATTAAAAGAGGTCAATGACAAAAATAAAAGCCCCATACACACCAAACTATTTGTTACAGCAGTCTTTTTTAAGGTAGCAAAGAACTAAAAATAAGGTAGATGCCCTTCAACTGAGAAATGACTGGAATATTACTGTGCTGTAATAAATGATGAAGATAAGTACAGAAAATCATAGAAAGATTTATATGAACTGCAGCAGAGTAGATTAAGCAGAACTGGGAATACAATATACATATGGATTACAACAATGTAAAGGGAAAGAACAAGGCACCTAGTTGGTGCACAGAGTGCCAAGCCTGGAGTCAGGAAGACTCATCTTCCTGAATCAAACCTGGCCTTAGACACTTCCTAGCTATGTGGCCCTGGGCAAGTCACTTAACCATGTTGGCCTCAATTCTTCATCTGTAAAATGAGCTGGAGGAGGAAATGGCGAACCACTCCAGTATCTCTGCCAAGAAAATCCCAAGTGGGGTCACAAAGTGTCAGACATGCCTGAAAAATGACTGAATAATATGAAAACAGCAAGAAAAGAACCAAAACCAATCACTGTAAAATTATAATGAAAAAAAAATAAAAAGGGCACAGCAGAGAACAAAAGAAAACTTAGAAAGGAGCACAAAAAAGCAGGGAAGCTTTGAAAATGATAAGCAGTATTTATTACATAGTTTTAAGAAAAGTAAACGGTGCAATGGAAATTCATGGTTTTATACTGAATCCTCTCTTAATGTTATGCTTTATGTGTGGAAATGTTCTTTTTTTGGTCTTTTTGTATTGAAGTGCAAAATGAATAAAAAATCTTTAAAAATTATAATGAACATGCTTGGCCCCAAAGGAGAGAAATGAGAACACCCCTTTGCACTTCTTTGCAGAGGTGGTGGTCCGTGAGAAATAATGCATACGACAAACTTTTTCAGCATGTACGTTAGCATTGCAGAACTTTTTCTTTCTTCCTCTTCTTTTATTCTTTATCATAATGGACATGGGATGGGACTGGAGGAAGACTACAGTGGAAAATATAAGTGATATAAGAGCAAAAGATAGCAATAAATGTAAAAAGCAAACAAAAAACCCCAAAACCTCCACTAGCTCCTACTATTTCCAGCGCTGTCATCCTATAACTCTTTTCCTCTTCCAGCTTCTTGCTAAAAAAACTATCTACATGCAATGCCTTTCCTTCTCTATACCCTCTGCAGTCTGGCTTCTAATGTCAACATTCAACTCAAACAGCTCACTCCAAGTTACCAACTCATTTCTGAATTGTCAAATCTCATGGCTTTTTTCAATCATCCTTCTTTACCCCTCTGGAACCTTTGATACTGTTGACCACCTTCTCCTCCTAGATACTCTCTTTTCTGGATTTTCATAGTGACTTCCTCCAGCTTTTCCTCCTGTCTATCTGACTGTTTTCTCAGCCACCTTGGCAAAATCATCATCCTTGTCATACCCACTAACTGTAGGTTTCCTTAAGGCTGTCCTGGGTGCTCTCCTCTTTCCTCTCTATATTCTTACTTGGTGACCTCATCAGTTTCCATGGGTTCAGTGATCATGTCCATGGCAATGACTGCCAGATGTGTATAGCAGCTCTAGTCTCTCTCTTGAGCCCTACTCCTACATCACCAGCTGCTTATCGTGTATTTGGCTGTCCCAAAAGCATCTCAAACTCAACATGTCCAAAACAGAACTCATTACTTTTTCCCCAAATTCCACCTCTCTTCTAAATTTCCCTACTTCTGTTGAGGTTAACACCATCTCTCAGTCACCAAGGTTCTCAACTGTGGTATCTTCTTCACTCTCCTTCATTCCACATACCTACTCAGTTGCCAAATCTTGTTTCTGTCTCCACAATATCTCTTGCATACACATCCTTTCCACTCACACAGCTAATTAGCTAATTCTAATTCACCTCTTGCTTAGACAGCTGTAAAAATGTCCTATTTGATATTCCTGCCTCATGTCCTTCCCTACTCTAATCCATGTTCCCACAAAGCTGCAAAAGTGATTTTCCTAAAGTTCTAGTCTGACCATGTTTTCTTGTTGTTGAGTTGTTTCAGTCATACCTGACTCTTTGTGACCCCATTTGGAATTTTCTTGGCAGAGATACTGGAGTGGTTTGCCACTTCCTTCTCCAACTCACTTTACAGATGAGAAAACTGAGGCAAACTGGGTTAAGTGACTTGGCCACGGTCACACAGCTAGCAACTGTCTGAGGCTGGATTTGAACCAGGAAGATGAGTCTTCCTGATTCCGAACCCAGCACTCTTAACCACTGTGCCACCTAGCTGTGCCTGACCGTGTTACTTCAACTCAATAAACTCCAACAGCTCCCTATCACCTTTACAATCAATATGAACTCCTTCACTTGGCACTGAAAGTTCTTCACAACTTTGCTCCTTCCTAGATTTTCAGCTTTATTATATATTTACTCCCTACCACACATTCTACTATTCATTCAATCTAGCCTTTTTGCTATTCCTAATACATGACACTCCATCTCTTGGCCGTACTTTGCACTGCCCTCCCCCATGCATGAAATGTACACCCTCTTCACTTCCACTGCTCAAAGCCCTGGTTTCTTTTAAGACTCAGTTCAAATGCCCGTTTTTACACAGGGTCTTACTGGTTCCCCAAGCTGTCAGTGCCTCCAACCAAGGCCATCAGGTATTCTATATATACTTTTCCATGTGCATGCCATGTCCCTTGATATGATGGAAGCTCCCAGAGGAGAGGGAAGGTTTCACTTTCAGTTTTGTATCCTCATAAGCTAGTACTATACCTGACACAGAAGGTGTTTTAACAAATGTTTACAGGCTAGTTAACTGAATACTCTTCCGCTAAAACAGTTGTTATATTGAAACATTTGACAGATTTAGAAGCCAAAGGAAAAAAAGGTAATGAGAAATGTTACTTAGTTTCCCCAAAAGTAACAGAAACTTAATACAAGTTACTTTAAAGTTCTATGTATAATAAAAACAACCTCTAAAGCTACCTAAGAAAGGAGCACTTTTTAATGTCTCTCATACATCATCATTAGCATTAGTGTTTTGACTTAAGCACACAATAAGGCATCTCCATACCCTACCTCCCTTAGGTTTTGGCCATGCAGTATGTAACAGATCATTTCCCAGACCCAACAGCATGCATCGTCATCTCTCTAACCCACCTTCAGTGCTTTGCCCTGAAGTTCATCAATGATCCCTCGAATCTTCTCCAGCAGGAAGGGCCAGGAGTTGATGAGATAAATCCGGTCCATCATGATAGCAATGATGCTATACCAGCGCTGGAAACCCCGGGCCAGACTGTCTTTGATGAAAAAAGTGTGGCTGAACACAAAACCATGTTGCTCATCTCCAAAGAAAATGGGGCCTTCACGACCAGGACAGACCTGATAGAGACCACAACTATGTCTGAGTCAATTAATCTTCTTGCTTTAGAAATATATAAAATGTATTAGTAATATATTGAAAAAGAAATGACAGCCTTTGACATTTGTATAAGCTGACTAAACTAAGTCCATGGGCAGGAATGAAGGGAAAAACAAATAAAAAACAAATTCATTTGGGTAGATGACTAGGCTGAAGACCATTCTAGCAATCCTTCACATTTTCTTTATAAGCAATACATAGGTTTTCCAATTTTTAACTCCAATGACCACTAAGCTAGTTAATTATTTTTCCCCGCCTGAGCCACTGGTTATCTGTATACAAAGTGCAGTTTACGCACAATCTATGCAGAATTTAGAAAGTGAGAAATCTCAGCTTTCTAGAACTTTCAGAAATTGGGAGTAAAGCAAAATAAGACTGACAGGCAGCCAAGAGAGATGCCAGAAAATTCACATACTTTATTCTTAAGAAAGCCTCTCAGGGTTTTACTCAAAGCCTATTTATTTTTACTTTACACACAGTTCTAAACAAACTTATGAATGTACTTCTTCATCCCACAACAGATTAGAAACAATCAGAAAGGCAAGGGGAAGATAAGAAAAGAGAGTAAATCAGCTACTACAAGTGGCACACTAACAGTTGAAAAGAAGAGAGAAGCAAAACTAATATTAAAAAACCCAACATACACAAGATCTCAAAAATGCAAGCGCCTACATTCAGAGTAGGGGCAAAAATCCCCACCCTTCAATAGCACCTGAAAGCAACAAAGTACTAAAATTAATACTTGTAATTATCACTTTGAGTCATTAAGAAGTTACATTTTGTTCTGTATTCTTTAAGAAATCTTTCTTGGATACTTAAGAGTGACAAATATTAACAATCTGAAAATCTAAATTCTCCAGAATGACTTATTCCCACACAGTCAAGATTATTACTGTACTCTTCGCTCCCTTGTAACTCAAAAATCTATGCTTATAAGTTTACTTTTTCTTCCTCCAACCTACAAATACAACAGGATTTAGCAATGACTGATGTAAAAAAGATGCCTCATTACTTGGAGTAGAAATGAAATTCCTCAACAGGTTTTCCTTTTCGGTCAAAGTAATCTTACCTCACAACTCAGGCTTCGAACACAGGCTTGGCGAACAATACTGAAGAGCTGTGGATGATTTGGGTGCTGATGACTAACATATTTTATTGAGGTTTCTTTGTCATGGCTGATGTACCCAGGATGTCCGGCTGCAAGTGATCGACAGCCCTAACCCAGACAAGGCAAAGAGAAGGTAGAATTGATCAAAAAGCAAGAATAAAGCCATTTCCCCCACATACAAGTCACAATAACTCATTCAAATTTTCCACATAAATAACCTCTCATCTAGAGGATCCTTTTATTTGTGCACTTCAAAATTCACAAATGCTTTATTTATATGACTGTGTTTCATGAATGGGAAAACAAGGGAGACACCAAGGACTCAGGAACCTCACTAAGGTCACAAAACAAATTAATGATGGAATGAAGAATCTCTCAATTCCCCAGTCAGACCACCATGTGTTTGGTATTAATATGAATAATTATTAAGTATCTGGTGTCGTCTGAATCTTAGATTAGTGATTCCCAAGTTATGTGGCCTCTGTAAATTTAAGCCTGGTATGAAGGAACTGGTAGTGGAATGTGAGGAAAAAACTATAGATCTGGAAATTCTTGATCTTCATACATTACATAGTAGTGGCCATGAGCCAAGTCCAACATATATATATATATGATCAGTGAGGCTTAGGAGGTAAGAAGCAGGCCTGTTTGTTGTTCATTAGTTTATTTCCAAACAAAGTTCTTTTAGAATCCAACAACAAACAAGAGGGCCTCTAGCCAAGGAGAATAAGGAAAAAACAAAACAAAACACAAAGTCAAGGACAGATAAGAAGGGAAGGCCTGGGAGACAACTGAAACAAAATAAAACAGGAAATAACTGGAATACAAAAACTGTGGGTTAACAATTATTTGTTGGGGAAGAGGTAAAGAAGAAGCAACATAAAAGCAAAATAACAAGGGAGCAAAAAGAAAGACATAAAATTTGTCAATAAATATTGACCATAGAGATAAATCTTCAAAAAGTTTATAAGTCTGTTTCTAATAACAAATGGTAAACTACTAAAATGGAAAGTTAACATCAATCGTGATCACTTTTTATTACTTGATGGGGGCAGATCTTGAGATGCATCTGTGTCAAAAGGAAATATTAATAAAAGTTTAAACTATTTCAGAAATAGTTAACTGACAAGCCATCAAGAATAATTTTGTCTATATAGTGCAGAATGATCTTATGTATCACTATAATTTCTAAGTCTGTAACTCACCATAAATTCTAGTTTACTGTTCAAATAACAGAAATGAAATAGGGTATGATCTAAAAGAATGCTACATACATGCAGAATGTAGAACTTTTTTAAGAACCCAGGGACACCCACCTCACACATGTCTGATTTCTTTGGCCCTGGGCTGCTGGATTCAGCACTGGCCCCTTCTGCTGGGCTATGAGAGCGAATTCTACTGCTCATTTGGATGCCACCTTCCTCCTCTTCAGCCTGTTCTCCCTGCCCAGGGCTATCTCCATTTCCAGCCCCCTGGGGAAGAGGAGAGTGTAGAACTTCTGTACAGAAGAGGGTTCGAGGGCCATGGAGTTCACAGAAATGACAAAGAGCAACAATAGCATTCATGGTTCTACTCAAACTGGCAACTGTCCTGCAACAAAAAAGGAAAGGGAAAAAATGCACCATCAGATTACCAGTATTCATTATATTTTCTAAGTACTTAACTAATACAAATAGCTGACATTTATAGAGTGCTCTATTGAAGTTTGCAAAGTACTCTACATACACTATGTCACTTGAGCCTTAAAATAAACTCTGTCCCCCAAGTACTCTTTGCTTTAGGTCAGTCCTGGGGTTTCTTCAATGCAGGGAGCTGCTGGTGAGAAACTTCCGTCAATGCATCTTCTCTGAAAATTAAGAGTCTCAAAAAGGTGCCTAGGGAACTGAGATAATAAGGGACTTGCCCAGGTCACACAGCCACTCTGTGTCAGAGGTGGCTCTAGAATCCATAGAATCCAGGGCTTCCTGACTCCTGGGTCCACTCTACCCGCTACATGGTATTCTTTGTAAGCCATAAAACATCACATAAATATGAGTCAAAACTATGAACAAGACCTGTATCCTGATCTCCAAGAGCTTAAGCTCCAGTGAGGGAGATAAATTATATACACATATAATGGCTTCTAAATGCAAGCTGGACTTTTTATTCTTCCAACAAACATTTACTCAACCCCTGTTATAGGCAGCATGCTGTGAGACACAAAGATCAGAAAGGCAGAGGCCTTGCCCTCTAGGAGCTTACCGTCTCGTAAATTCCTTGAGGTAAGGTCTTGAACATGAACAGGCTACAGACCAGCAGAGATGAATGGGGCAAACAATCCTGGTGGAGTGAATGGCGAGGGCAAAGATACAGTATCAAGGAAGCAGTCTGGGGAGCAGGTTAGGACGGCAGCAGTAGTAAAAAGAGATGGGACTAACACAAGAAGAAGAATCGACAGGGTTCAGCAGAAGCCTTTATGACTGAGACACCATTAGAAGAAACAGTGATGTCAGCAGGAGAAGCCAGGGTGTGGAGAGGAGGAGCTTGACCTCATCTTACCGATGAGGAGGCAGGGTGGGATGGAATCAAACATGAACACAGGTAGGAGAATTCACTTAGGAGAAGAGAGATTCCATTTCCTCTCAGACTGAAGGGGAAGACAAGAGAAAAAGGGAAGGTCCACTCTAGAATGAAATCTGACCAGTTTCTCCTGGAGTCTTTCTCCTGCTCAGTAAGGTATCAACACCAACCTCTCTCATCACCAGAACGGGACTTCTGGCTCCACATAGGCCGGAGTGCACAAATTCAGTTCATTTCCAAATCATCCTGCATTGGCAAATGCACATGCTATTTAGTGGTAAGATGCTCCACATTCTAAGAGACAAATTAAAAAAAAAACCAGTATTAATTCCCAAAGTAAGAATTTCAAAGCATAAAGACAAGCAAATTGTTTCTAGATGGCTACAGATGAAAATGCACAGAGGGAGATTCATAATAATGGGTAGGATGAGGCTGGCACCTACATGCACCTGACTTACCACATTTGTTAGCATGCAGAAAGTGGTTAATGAGTTAGGCACAGGGGTGGGGAACCTTCAGCCTCAAGGCCACATGTGGCCCTCTAGGTCCTCAAGGGCAGCCCTTTGACTGAATCCAGACTTCACAGAACAAATCACCTTAAAAAAAGGATTTGTTATGTAAAACTTGGACTCAGTCAAAGGGCCGCACCCAAGGACCTAGAAGGCCACATGTGGCCTCCAGGCCACCCCTGGGGCTTATAAGCAAACAATTCCTGAATGGTTCTTCTTTTTCTCTGTTAGCTATAAAAGAGAAGCAAAGGAATACTCTTCTTTCTGCCTCCTCTTCCCTGAAATGCAAGTGCTGCTTGCATACCATTTATTTACAATGCTCTGTGAACCACCACCTGAAGAATGAAGGTCACCATCACTACACAAAAAGGGGATTAAACAGACTGCACCTCCAAAACTATGACTAAAATGCAACACAAAACCATAAACTGTTCCAAAGGGGAGGCTGGCCACTGGCAGCATCTTCAAAACTATTTCCCAGCTCCAAAGTCAAAATTGAAATTAGCCCACCCTAAAGTTTAAGACAAGTACTTCTAACCAATAATATTAGCTAAAAGCTAAAATGTATATAGCATCTTAAGGTTTGCAAAGCACTCTGCTGATATAATCACATTTGATACTCACAGGAACCCTGGGATGTAGGTGCTATTATTATCCCCATTTTACAGATGAAGAAAATGAGACAGAGAGAGATTAAGCAACTTGCCCAGGATCACAACTAATAAGTGTCTGAGACTGGATTTGAACTCAGGTCTTCTGGACCCCAAGCCCAGCCCTCTAGCCACTGCACCATCCATCTGCCTAATTAAGGGTCACTCTATTTAAGGCATGCGCAGTGGTGCCAATAAACCCACAGAAATGTTTTGATCACTAATACTTTTGCCTCTGCCATTTTATATATACACACACACACACACACACACATACACACCCCCCACCTAAATGTTGCAAGACATTATTTACTACAATGTAAATGTGGACAAAACTATTTACTACTGGTAATATGAAGCATGTGTTTTTTTTTCTTTTTTCACTTCTTTATTTCTACTTGAAGTTAAATGGAGAAACAAAATTTTTCTCTTGGCTTTTTCCAAAAGAGAGATTATATCTCCAAAGGTTAGCAAGGTTTGCACATGGCATAGGTAAATGAAATGCATGGCAGATATTTCTAGAATGACAAACTGGATGTCAAAGAACATTTAGTTCAACAAATTCACTGCAAATTCTGATGAATAACTGAAACCCAAAAAAGGGAAGTTAAATAGCATACCCCATATTTCTCCTATGCTTTTCAATGAGCTTTAGTGGACCTGAGAAATCAGAAATCCATTCCCTCGTTGTTCTTGTTCAGCCCTTGGCTATGACAGGCAAATCAAAACACAAATACCTAGAAGCAGTAAGTTTACCTCACTGTTAACTTTATTGGCTGATGAAACATGTAGTCCTTGACAGGCTCTTATTTATAATAACCTATTTATCCATGAAGCATTCCTGGTACCCTTCCCGTGTGTGTGTGTGTGTGTGTGTGTGGTGTGTGTGTGTGTGTGTGTGTGTGTGTGTACATATAAACATACACATATATGCACATGCCCTTTGAGATCTAGAACTGACACTATGTATGAAACACTAATGTAACTGGCAAACCAAAAAAATCTTTTGTTACAACACAAAAGATCCAGGCACCAAACGGTAAAGAGGAAATGGAGGACCTTATGTTTTAATATATTCTACAAAAATTAAGTCCAAGACAGTCAGTAGCAGTTAGGATACCTGCGATTTATTCCTGGTTCTGCTACTAAAATGTATAATCTTGGCTAGGTAATCTTGGGCAAGTCACTTAATCTTCCTTCAGCCTCCTTTAGTTGTTGTTTTTTTTTTTAAAAAATCTGTAAAATGAGAAGTGGAAAGAGTTCATGACCAAATACGAGATAAAAAAGGATCACAGAAAGTAAAATGGACAATTTTGATTACATATAATGGATATAATTTTTACACAAACAAAATCAACGCAGCTAAAATTAGAGAAGCAGGTAAATTGAGGGGGAAGGCTTTGCAGCAATTTTCTCCAATAAAGATCTAATTTCTCAGATATGTAGGGAACTGATCCAAATTTACAAGAAGAGCCATTCTCCAATTTATAAATGGTCAAAGGATGCAAAAAGGCACTTTTCAGAGAAAGAAATCCAAGCTTTCAAGAGGCATATGAAAAAATGCTCTAAATCACTAATAATGAGATAAATGCATTTTAAAACAGCTGAGCTTCCATCTTATACCCAACAGTTTACCAAAGCTGGCCAAAAAGGAAAATGATAAATGTTGGCAGGGCTATGGCAAGATAGGTATATTACTGCACTGTTGGTGAAACTGTGAACTACTCCAGTCATTCTGGAAATCAATATGGAACTATGTCCCCCAAAATCATTAAACTGTACATGCACTTCAACCCAGCAATATTAATATTAGATATAGACTCCAAAGACCTCTCCAGTTCTTAGCTGTGGCAAACAATTGGAAACTATGGGTATGCTCATCAGTTAGGGAATGGATGAACAAGTTATGGTTTATGAATGTGATGGAGTACTATTGTGCTAAAAGAAATGATGGTGATGGTTTCAGAGAAACCTGGGAAGATCTGTATGAACTGATGCAGAGTGAAGTGAGCAGAACCAGGAAAACAATTTTTATAATAACATTACTGCATAGACAAATAACTGTGAAAGACTTTAGAACAATAGTCAACACTATGACCAAGCACAATTCCCGAGATAGAACTGCTGAAACATGAGATAAATGAGAAGACAGTGAGGCAGCACCTAGTTGCCCCTGATGAATTAAAGTTACCTAGCCCAGATGAACTACATCGTTGGGTCCTGGAAGTCACATATGTGGCTGCAGAACTGCTGTAAGTGATATCTGCAAGATCATGGAAGATGACAGAGGAATCACGAGATTGGAGATGGGCCAAGTGTTGTGTTGATTTTCAAAAACAGGGAAGAGATCAGAGTCTGAAAACCACCGACTAGGGAGTGTGACTTCAATTGATAGGAAAATTATTGAACGGACCAACCATCAAAGAGACAGTCGGTGAATATCTAAAAAGGGAAGCAGTGATTACAAAAAGCCAGCCTGGCTTCTTCAAAAACAAACTAACCTCATTTCCTTTTTCGACACTTTTGATTACTAAACTGGTAGATGAGGGGAGAACTATAGACATAGTTTGCTTAGATTTTTTTACAAAGGTTTTGATAAAGTATCTTATGCTATTCTTGGAGAGAAGATGGCGAGTTATGGATTAAACACTAATATAATCTGATGGATTCAGAAATGGCTGGATAACTGGACTCAAAGAACAGTTGTTACAGGTTCAGTGTCAATGCCCTAAGAGGTCTCCAGTAAAGTACCTCAGCAATCTGGGCTTGTTGGCCCTGTGCCGTTTAACATTTTTATCCACTACTTCATTAAAGGCATAGGTGCATCAAATTTGGAAATTTATAGCTAACACAATGAATGACAGAAGTCAGGATCCAAAAGGATCCTGACAAGCTAGGGCTTCAAGCTGGATCTTTCTTTAGGTACCAAAAAAACCAAAACAAATGAACAAAAAAAACCTCCCAACACAATCAACTCTACAAATACAAGAGTAAGGAGATATGGAGAGATTGCAGTTGTTTTCTGCAGACCGCAAGCTCAATATGAGGCAGCAGAGTGACGTGGCAGCCCAAAAAGCTAATGCAATCCTGGAACTCCTTGTGGGCCCATAATTTCTGGGAACAGGGAGGCGATCATCTCATTGCACTCTGCCCTGAACAGACCTCATCTGGAGTAGCGTGTTCAATTCTGGGCACCACAGTTTAAGGAACTGATAACCTGGGGAGGAACATCCAGAGGGCAACCAATATGGTGAAGGGCCTTGAGTCCATGATATATGAGCACTACGTGAAGGAACTGAGTATGTCTAGTCTGGAGAAAAGAACACTCAGGGGTGACGTGATGGCTGGGTCACATATCTGAAGGACTGTCTGGTGGAGGAGGGATTAGACTTGTTCTGTTCGGCTCCACAGGGCAGAACCAGGAACCCAAAGCAGATGCTTCAAAGAAGCCAATTAAGGCTGATGTCAGGAAAAACTTCCTAATAATTCAAGCTATCCAAAAGTTAAAGAGCTTGCCTTGAGAGGAGGAGGACTGCCCCTCCTTGGAGGACTTCAAGCAGAGGCTGAATGACCACTTGTCACATATGTTGTCTCAGAGCTTCCTTCATGTGTGGACTGGACTGGACTGGATGGCAGCAGAGGCCCTTGCGATTCTCAAATTCTCTCTTCTGTAAAAGGAAATCTTAGAATATTAATACCAAAAGGCAAAAAGAAAAAGGCCGATGACAAAGATTAACTTATCTGGCAAAAGTGAGTATAATCTTATAGCAAAAAATCAGAGCTTTAGAATAGAAAATTTTCAAGTATTCATGTTGAGAAAACCAGATACAGGTAGAATTTTTGCAACTCTGAAGCAACAAAAGAAACCTAGAAAGGTGAGGCAATTTGAAGGAAACAAATGACAATCAAGTTCTTATATCCTAATTGGCAGGGGTGGGGTAGGGTGAGGTATAGAGACCACTGTCTTTTCAAAATCCTACTATCTCCAGGAGGCTGGGAGGGAGTAAAGACACTACATGTTTTCTTTGGAGGGGAAAAGGCAATATACTAGAGAAGAAATGAGGAAGGAGAAGCAGTTTTACCTTCTATTAGAAAGTTTTCCCAATCATGCTTAATGCTAGTATCTGTATATATCTTATTGGTATATAGTCATTTTCATGTTGTTTCCCCATTAGATTGTGAGCTCCTCAAGAGCAAGGGCTGTGTCTGAACTTTCTTTACTTCCAAAGCACTTAGCATAATGCCTGGCAAAAGCAGCCACTCAATTAAATGCTGGTTAACTTACTTCACATCACTTAGGTATGTCCAAAAAGAGAATGTAAACATGGAGATGAAGGTGGGAGGCAAGGGCATCTCATGAGCATCACTACTATCTGATCAGGGTAAAGAAAAATCGAACACTCACAGAGTCAGATGTAGAAATGCAGAAAAGTGAACAGGTAAAATGACTTAGGAGAGGGGTTAAGAGGGAGGGCAAAACTGGGGAGGGAACTGTCACAAGCAAAACAAACTTCAGAGAGCCACTCGGGGTGGAGCCAAGCTGGCGGCGCGAAAGCAGTGACTTGCTCGAGCTCTCCCCCAAACCCCTCCAAATACCTATAAAAAATGGCTCTAAACAAATTCTAAAGCAGCAGAACCCACAAAAAGACAGAGTGAAACAAATTTCCAGCCCAAGACAACCTGGATGATTGATCACAAAGGTATATCACGCTGGGCTGGGAGAGGAGTGCAGTTCAGCATGGGTGTGCAGGCCGCAGCAAACCTGGAGCAGGCCTCAGAGGACTGAATCAGGGGCAGCTGTGGCAGTTTCCAGCCTCCTCAATCCACAATGCCAAAGACAACTTAGACGGTCAGTGGGGAAAGTCTGTTTCTGCAGTGCTGAGAGAGGAACGCGGGGTCTCAGCTCCAGCTCCCCAGGAGTGCGGCCCTGGACGGGGAGGGGGACAGCTGCCTCCTGAGCTTCCAGTCCACAGACTGAGGGGGATTGCAGTGGCTGATCATAGAGGGATTGCAGAGATCTCTTTGCTAGTGCTGAGGCAGGAATCTCTTGCTTTGCCCGTGTTTGGATCTGGGTCACAGTTCTGGGAGGCGGTCCTGGGGTGAGGAGGAGGGCTGGCATGGTGGAGCTTGTAGTGGCTGTAGAGATGAAACCCTCCTCACAGTTACAGGACAGAAAGGAGTACTTGTGGTCACTAATAGACCACAGCACAAGCCAGGAAAGGAGTAAACACCTCACCCCTTATCATTACAGGTCCCTAGAAGTATCTCTGAAAACAGCTGTACAAACCCCTGAAGCTTAGGACAGTACATTCTCCACACTGGAAACAGACACTCACCTTAATAAAGAGTTTAAAACTCAAGTAATTGGCCGGGATCACGAGCAAGCAGCACAAAAAGAGTCAGACTATATTATCTTACTTTGATGACAAAGGAAATCAAAATATACAACCAGAAGAAGACAACAAAGTCAAAGCTCCTACATCCAAAGCCTCCAAGAAAAATATGAATCAGTCCCAGGCCTTGGAAAAGCTCAAAAGGGATCTTCAGAAGCAAGTAAGGGGAGTAGAGGAAAAACTGAGAGTAATGCAAGAAAAACACGAAAAACAAGTCAACAGCCTGCTAAAGGAGACCCAAAAAAATACTGAAGAAAATAACACCTTAAAAAATAGCCTAATCCAAATGGCAAAAGAGGTCCAAAGAGCCAGTGAGGAGAGGAATGCCCTAAAAAGCAAAATTGGCCAAATGTAAAAGGAAGTCCAAAAGCTTATTGAAGAAAATACTTCCTTAAAAATTAGAATACAGCAATTGGAAGACAGTGACTTTATGAGAAATCGAGACACTGTAAAACAAATCCAAAAGAATGAAAATAGAAACAATGTGAAATATCTCATGGAAAAAACTGACCTGGAAAATATATCCAGGAGAGAGAATTTAAAAATTATTGGACTATCTGAAAGCCATGATCAAAAAAAGAGCCTAGACATCATCTTTCAAGAAATTATCAAGGAAAACTGCCCTGATATAGTAGAACCAGAGGGCAAAATAGAAATTGAAAGAATCCACCGATCTCCTCCTGAAAGAGATCCCCAAAGGAAAACTCCTAGGAATATTGTAGCCAAGGGAGAAAGGAAGGGAGAAAATTTGAAACCTAAAGTTTTAAAAACATATGTTTAAAAAAAATTTTTTTTTGGTTTTTGTTGTTTTAGGCAATGGGGTTAAGTGACTTGCCTAG